GTTAAACTACTGCGAATTTCCGGAACCTTCACGGCGCCTTTCTCGAGCGAAGAAAATATCAAATGTCACGTGGTTTTTGATGACCGAAGTCACTTGACAAAATGTCTCAGTGCAGTTGTTGTTTGACCTTTCTTGTTTTATTCAATGGACTTATCCCCAACTAAGTTTTCGATATTGACCGTATTTGATTCATGCATTAGGTCTAGAGGAAATAAGGCTTATACCCTCCAGACTGACGTTGGAAAAGTTCCTGTCTACTGTCACATGACGAGTATTGAAGGATGCGGAGGTGGGGGGTGGACGCTGGTCATGAAAATTGACGGCCACAAGGTAACAAATACACCGAAAGGCATATTATAAGAAACGCGAACTGGTGACTTTGTCATACATCTGTTAGTAAAAAGGTGTTTCTACGGAATGATTGCCAGAACCGATCATGAAGTAGCAAAGAGCGATAAAAATATAACATTTTATGGCGGTTTCAACGTCAGTTTGAGGCGCTTGTCTCCAGGCAAATCCCATGGTTCCCAGTGCCCTGGCATTACTAGTATTCAATCCCTCCCCGACTGAAAACGTACTTTCCACGTTACGTCGATCAGAAACCCTTTTATTCGAGAACGTTCATTGAAAGGGAGATCAAAGGGAGTAAAGTACGCTGTAGGAACAAAAGATAATTAAATTGACAGGAAAAAAATTATCTTGTGCTACCTGATAATTTGACAATTAATGTTTTACTACTTTCTTTGCTAGTCAAACTTCCACTACGATTCTGACTACTGGACCAGCAAGACCGAGTTCAACCGACGAGGAGGGCAGACTGGGTTCGACTTTGACGAAACCAAGTTACCAACCTACTGGAATACGCCATTTTCGCAGATTTGTGTGGGCATGAAGATTGGTCATCAGATCAAGTTCACCCGTATCAGCGTGAACGCCAATTCTCTGTACTCACTGATCGCTGACGGCCATTACCGCGCCACCTCACTGGGTCGTAACACATGGAAGTCGCTGATTGGTTCACAGGCTTCCTTACAGACCAATTGCAACAAAGAAGGGTTTAATGTGGCCGGAGAAGAGCCATCCCATGCAAAAGCGAGGATTGGTATCCTTGGCAACAATGAGAATGACTGCTACAGCTGTGACTCCAGAATTGGTTTCGGTACCGGAGGGAAATACGATGATACCAACACTTGTGGAAACGAGGCCATACACTCGGCAGATAATGGAGACAAGCACATGAAAGCCATGGGATACATTCTGGTGCAGTAAAAACGGTCAGAATGTTAATCTTCACCTCGGAGGCTGTGTATCCTAGTGATGGGTTGATCTCACAAGCTACTGCAGTAACCTGATTTGATTTAGTAGAAGGATTAATGTAGAACTCAGTGTTTTGATTTGGGCATAAATAAAATTGGTGCTAGCAGCATGTGCATATTTCTCTTTAATTTTTTTTGTAACTCCTGTAATTGATCCAAGAGACCGCGGCAGAAGATTGTCACAACACACAAAATCGCGGAAAAATGAATTTTATGATTTGTCTTTACAAATCGTCAATTTTCAGACTTGAAATCTTCTCAGTTTCAAGATTTATCTTGCCAAATCATGAATTGCCAATGTATGGATTTGGCCCTCAGCTGCCAATTTTAGAAGTTTTAGGCGTTTTCACTTTGAAAACGTAGCAAATGTTTTCCGTCCAGACTACCCCGGAGAAATTTGAAAACGCAATAATCACCGGCCATTTTGGATTTGTGTTTGAGGAAAACTCGGGCAGGGAAATCATGGGAAGGGAAATTTAGTACACGCTAAAACGAAAAGCCGGCGTTTTCAAATTCCTCCGGTTTGAAGGGCTCCGTTTTCGTGACGGATTAGTGTGGACGATAGGCCTAACCGTAGAAAAAAAGCTGTGTTTCCAATTATTTTCTCCGGCGTAGTGTAGAATACAGGGCCGTAGTCAAGATCTGGCTGACTGTAGAATGTTGAGCTGTGTAACCGCTCCTCCAGTAGTTTTCCAATACTTCGGTCGGATGAATCACGTTGTCAGTCGCTTGAATTAAAATAGAGTTGCATTCTCGAGTTTTGGCTGGTTTATTGGCTCTAGAATATTACACCGACCAAACACTGAATTTTGAACACTTGGATTTGACTTATCAAATCTTTTTTGAGCTTTGAACTTGCTCAAGCTACAAGTGTTATGCCAGCATTCAATTCCAAATGAAAATACCAAAAATTAGCCACCGTCGTTCGCGTTCTCAAAAATACGCAAAATTTTGCCATTTCACGTTGTTGTTTTGCAGAGGACGGCAAAGAAATGTACAAAGATTTATAACGCACGTGCACAGCCATTTTTCAGCTCATTAAACTTTTTGTTCGGTGACGCTCTCGTAAAGGCGTCGCCGTCGTGGTTTGCAAAAGCTAGAGGGTTTATCGAGCGCTCAAAGAAACCAAACGTTTGCCATCCATTTGGTGTGCACACACAGAGGAAGACATGTGATCCAGGTGCTTAAATAAACCTTTACCACAAAACAGACCAAGCAGAATTAAAAGTAAGTTAAGTAATTTTAATGATAGCACTTTACAGGTGAGATCCTCTTCGCACCGTTCGTTGTATTTATGACTAAATTAACATCAAATGAATTTTCTTACAAAATAAATACTTATTTACTGCTGACGAACATAAATTTAAACATCAAAACCTTTCATATTGTTCTCTTTATGATAGTTACAGCTGTATAACTAGTATAGAGAATGCGTTATTCACTATTTACGAACAATGAAGGCGAATTTCTATTTTTTTTTCTACAGACAAAAACTGGACACTAAGGTCACAACATGGGTGACAATAAGCTCATACAGCTTATACTTTAAACTTTATTTTNTAAAACTAATAACTTGATTTATATAAATTTTTGCCTCATTAGCTTGAAGTCTGGCTGTAACATTTTTCTATCTATAAAAAGAGTAAGAAATGCAAAATACGTAGAACGGCTTCCATCGAGCTCCTTTCCTTATTTCTTGTTCTACGTTAAACATGCTTTTCAATTTTTGTTTTTCAGCTAAGGCAGCGGAATGTGAATCTAACATAGACTGTATGGAAGGGAAGGCCAAGTGCCTCCGGAGGGAGTGTCATTGTAACCACTATCTGGATTATGGAGATGGGAAAACTAAGTGTGAGAGTAAGAAGAAAAACTTTTCTAACAAAGTAATAAGCAGTGGTTTGAAGAACGTGACCGATCAATACTTTTCAACTTTTTGACAATGCATTTTATTCTGTAAACTTTGTCTCAACAATACCGAGTTGAAGTCGTCTTCATTAGAGGGCCGGTCCAATCAAAAGTCAAGTAATTACCTGTAGCCGGAGCCGGCGAAACGCGGGAGATTATAGTCTGAGAGTTTCGTTTTATTTCTGATTGGTAGAGAAGATAGCGAGAGTTTTTAAATTGACCAATTACTAAGCGTTTTCATAGAAAATAAGGCAAATTGCGAATAGCTTTCGAAATTCAAGTGAGACAGCAAAAGAGACAGTGTCACAGACAGTGAATGCATGTGACATTGACGTTGAAGGCGGGCAGTGCCGGCAACAGCGACATGACAGCAACCATCACAGCGACAGGAACAGTAACAGAAACCGAGAGAGAGAGTGACATGGACAGTGATAGCGCTTATAGATGACCTTAAGCAAACCACAACGTCTACGGCAACGAGAACGCCACCAAGCAAAAGCTTTATGAGTAGAACAATGGCTAAGCACGTGCGTTATAAATCTTTGAATATTTCTTGTCGTCCTTTGCACAGCAACAACCTGAAATGATTTAGTTCTCTGCATTTTAGAGGACACGAACGACGGCGGCTAATTTGTCGTATTTTCATGTGGAATTGATCGCTGGCGTTACATATTTCCGAGTTCTGAGACCAATAGTTCTGGAACGAATGAGTGAACTGAACAGATCTAGACAACTGTGAAATTCTAAGATAAAATATAAACTATTGTTTCTACTAGTCGTTGTCCTCGGGGTCGCCGTTGTCATTGCTTAAGGGCTCTCTATTAAGATTATGAAATGTTGATTGCCTTAGGTTTATAGTTCAGTAAGTGCTGATTCATCTCTTGCCAGGGTGGTTAATGTGCAGACCTG